CTGCATGTTGATTTTTTTTTCTCAAAATACATATCTTAGCGATCATTCTCGATGAGCAATTATAGATTTGCCTTATTATTTTTCATTTTTATATGTAACCAAAAAAACTCAAACTCACTGCTGTTGAGTTGATTCTGACTCATAACGACCCCCCATTGGGTCCAAGGTGGTATCTCTACAGAAGTAGATGTCCAATCTTCCTTCCAAGGAGTGGCTGGTGGGTTTGAACTGCCAGCATTCTGGTTACCAGTTAAATGCCTTAGGCACTACACCATCAGAGCTCCTATATTTGAACATAGTAAATAAAAATTCTAGGAGCTATCTATTTCCCATTTGTTTTACATAATGGAGAACATGCTTCTTTGTAACCAGTTAAATGACCCCTTTCTAGCTCAAAATGTCACATGTTTTGAATTTTCTTTCTCTCTTGATTTGTTTTGTCAAGTCTTAAGAAAATACTCCTTTAACACCTGGCTTTTTCATGAACAATCATAATGCTTGAGATACCACTTTTACTGGGCCTTGTCTTTATCCATATCAGCAGAATGTCTTGTTTATCTTCCTGGAATTAAGACTTAGAAAAGCTCCTTTGAGTAGTGATGCCTCTCCGACCCATCCCACTGTCATGTCTCTCTTTCTGCATTTCATCCACTTCCTGCATTTTATCCTGGCTCAAGTCCAAATGTTCAGGAAGCTCAGATAGGTATCTGAGTTCGTCCTGCAGTTTGAAGTTAAGAAGCCTCATGAATAGAGACTTACAACTGTCTAATCATGTCCTGTGTTGGAGGTAGGAAGCTTGTTGAAGAAAAATGTCGGGAGGGGACTACAAGGCCCCTGAAAGAAAAAATTCAACCAAACCTAGTGAAATAGGAAATCAACCTGGTAGGCCAGACCCACCATAGGGCTTGAGGGTTAGATAGTTCCACGTATGGACACAACATGGGTCACATCTACTCATTACTCCCAAAATAACTCACTGTAAGGCTGGAACTATGGGAAAGATCAACCTTGTTTCTGAGCCCACTGGGCAGGCACCAAGTCAAAGAGAAGGGACTCAGCCCCAAGCCAAGTCCTTGAGCTCTTCTTCTGACTTCTCCAGCGGCAGAGCAGGAAGAGGGGTAGTGAACCAGAGGGTAAGGGGAGATGAATAATGGGCCCAGCTGGGGCATCAGTACTTCCATTCTCTTTGGGACCTCAGATGTAACAATCTGTAAGGGGCCAATCAGGGAAGGGAGAAGCCCCACCACTGAAATACTAATCATTGGGCTTATTTCAGAGCTCCTGGGTGCAAATGGTTAGCACACTCAGGTGCTAACTGAAAGATTTTTGGTTCAAGTCCACCTAGACACAGCTTGGAAGAAAGGCCTGGTGATCTACTTCTGAAAAATCAGCCATGAAAACCCCGTGGAGAGCAATTCTACTCTGACCCACATGGGGTCACCATGAGTCTGCATCAGCTTGACAGCATCTGGTATTTGGTATGCTCATTGCAAATACAAACATTACTAATAGTTGGCTGTTCTCTGCATCTCACCAATATTAACTCACTGGGTCTCACCAAAACCCTACGAGGTTGGCTATCATTACCATTTAACAGATAAAGAAAGTGAGCTGCAGAGAGCTTGGGCAACCTGTCCAGGGTTATACAGCAAGTAAGTAGTAAAGTTGGAACTGGAATCCAAACAATCTGGTCCCAGAGACCAAGCTCCTAAACACTGTGCTATACTACATATACCAAAAACCAAACTCACTGCCATCGAGTCGGATCCGACTCATAGCAACCCCTTCTTGGGTTTCCGAGGCAGCATCTCTACGGAAGTAGATTGCTCAACCTCCCTTCTGAGAAGTGGCTGGTGGGTTTGAACCACCAGCCTTCTGGTTAGTAGTCAAATGCCTTAGGCATCACACCACCAGAGCTCCCACACTACATGTAGAATGTACAATTAACACTTGAGGATTCGTCTGGAGGGGGTTCTGTCGAGGAGCAGAGAGTTCCCAAAGTGGAGGCTTATGATAATCATGTTGTGCCTACATCACATGTGCTAGCTGAGGACAACCTCTGGATACTGGATGGTGTTGTACAAGTGTGTGCTTCTGGGAGGAAAGCTTTAATAAATACTAGAGAATGTCATTAAAAGACAGATCACACCACCCCACCCCAAAAGAAATTCCTAAGTTACAAGAAAGAACTTTCTGACTTGGAGGAAAACATCTTGCTCTCTCTCCACCCCCCCCCTTTTTTTTTTTGGTGGGCGGGGGATGGGTGGGTCCTATAACAGAAAGGCGTAACCACCACAACTACAAAGATTTTTACAGGTAGAGTTGATAGAGTGCATTGGTTGAGGTGGGATATTATGGTATGGAGGGTTTAAACACTTCCTGATAATCTTTTTTAGATACTTAAACTGGGTTCTGGGAGTCTCATGAAGAACTCAAACTCAGTTCATAATTGTTTTTTAGTATTGGCTGATGATTGAGAGGTGAGAGTGGGTATGGGGGGAGTAGTGTGATGCTCTCTAGGAGAGAGGGCTATGAGAAAAACTCTGTGCAGTATATAACCAGTCTCTTGGTCTCTCTTTCTTGGTGCTCAAACCTTTTTGGTATAGGACCCAATCCCATGCCACCAAGAAAAGCAAAGAGCAAGAAGATGTTTTCCTCCACATCAGAGAGGGAGAAAAGCTGTGGTCAAGGCTAGCAAGGACGGTGCTCCGGCAGCCACTTAAAACACATTTGAGGACAGGAGTGAAAGTAATCTTTTCTAGGACCCAGGTTCATGGGGTCTAGGGCTCACACATCTATTGAAAGGGTAGAGTGTAACCAGACTTCTCTTTGTATTACCCATAGACTTGCCCACGTTGGGGTGACACAGTAATTTTTGTGTTTTGTTTTGGAAAGTGTATGAAAATAAACCATACATACAGAAGAAGGTTGCCACGTTTTCTAAATGCATAAAACCCACATTACCTCAAGGTTGCAGCTGACAAGAACATGCAGATTTCCACACCCTGTAGTGGATGATAGCAAAGGAATTAGCATCAGAGACACCTTTTGTTCAGCAAATATTTACTGTGCCTTTGCCATGAACTGGGTGCTGGGATATAGGGGGGCAACTCACATATGGCCCTTACTGTCACATAACTCTGTCTATTGAGTCTTTACTTTCTGATTTGTTCAGCTGTGCACATCAGTTTAGCTGATTTCTCTTTAATAAGGTACAGTGAGGAAGCAGTGCAGCTTAGGGTGGTGAGTGACAACACAGGCTCTGGAATCAGACTTAGAGTCAAATCCCAGCCTCATTCCTCACTGGCTGTGTGACCTTGGGCAAGACCCTTACCATCTCTGAGCCTCAGTTTCTTTCTTTTTTTTTAAATAATTTATTTTTTTATTATCGAAAACATGCACAGCAGAAGATACAACAATTCAACAATTTCTACATGTACAATTTGTAACACTGATTACATTCTGCAGTCCGTGGAACCATTTTCACCCACCTTTTCTGAATTGTTCCTTCCTCATTAGCATAGTCTTTGCCCCTTAAGTTCTTATCTAAACTTTCAAGTTGCTGTTGTCAATTTGATCCTGAATAGATAGCTCTTTAAAAGGGCACATGCTCACCAGCCTCTGTTTACTTTATCTGTAAAATGGAGACAGTATTTACCTCAGAGTTCGTTGTAAAGATTAAATGAGCTGAAATATACAGAGTATTTAGCACATTACTTGATACTTAGCTGTACAGTAAACACTAGTTAGAAGAATATCTTTATCAACAGCTTTCTCCAACCCCAAGAATTCATGCTAATGGTTCTAAGCTTATTTTGCACATATACCACATATATGCTAGAAGATTAGACAAGGGCTTATTGATTTTCTCCAGAAATTACCCCTCAGGAAAGAAGGAATACCTTTTATAAAAATTCTTTCAAGTTACAAGACTCTCCGTTACCTTATTTTGGAAAACAAAGCACTACGTATTTGAGAAAGGAGCGACCTGAGGTAATTTACTGAAATTATTTCAGTTAGTGCTAGCTTTTGAAAGCTAGATGGAACCAGTAAAACAGCAACCAAAAAAAAAAGAAAGAAATTTAACACATTTAGTAAGTATGTAAATTTAGCTGAAGTTCGGTGTCCAGGAGAGACTTGTGAGGAGGGAGATTAAAAGGGGAAGCCAGCTGCATCCATATGTTTGGAGTTCTCAGGTGGAGTGTCTGCTTGGGCCATGGAACTTGGATATTGGTGCCCAGAGCGTCAAAACTAAGGGGGAGGGGAGTACATTTATTTTCAGTAGAATATCATGCTAAATAGAATATCTTAAGTTTCTCTGACTGTCTCATAATCGCTTCTTTTGTAACCTCTTGAGGGCTTCTGGAAGGAGCTCTGGTGACACAGTGGTTAAAGCATTTGGCTGGTAACCAATAGGTTGTCGGTTCAAACCCACTAGCCACTCTGTGGGAGAAAAATGAGGTAGTCCACTTCCTTAAAGATTTACAACCTTAGAAACTATACGGGGCAATTCTGCTCTGTCCTATAGTCACTGTGAGTTGGAATTGACTTGATGGCAGTGGGTTTGAAGAGCTTTTGGCATTAAAAGAGTTATTCTCAAGCAATGGTTTTGGTTGATTTAAAATGTTTAAATTACCAATTGTCTTCCTAAACTGTGAGTCAGATCCAAGTTTTAAGATTATTTTTGCTGCTTCATATTAATTTCATTATCATCCTGGAAGGGGGGGTGAGATGGACATTGAGCAGTCGTGTGTATGCACAAAGTGGGATTCCTGTGAACACTCACCCTGGATTGGTGTGATGGGCTTGCATTGTTGTCAGGCTGCCTGGAGGAGGCAAGCTTTGTGGATTTCCGTGTCAATGAGAGGTCACCAGATTCACCACCTTCAAGGAGGCAACGGAAGGAACCCTGATGGAGGACCCATGGAGACAGAACGATTTGATAAAAGAGAGCCCAGCCCAGCCCCCTGCTAACTCAGCTCATTGTCCATGTTTTTCAGTATCCATGGAGCCAAGTGTGTTGAGAAGCGATGTCTTCGTTGATTTTTTCAAACAGTTGCAGCTGGTAAGCTTGCTCTTCTTTAATGCAGAACATATCTTTTATTTAGCCACGTATGTGTGTGTGTGTGTGTGTGTGTATGGGTGTCATCCCCACAATTCATCCCATTCGTGGGTAAAATCAGAGGTGTTTCTAAGGCCTGGCAAGTGACCTGGGCTCTATTTGAAGGGAGGAGGTGCCACCGTGCAGTTTCTATTAACCATCACATTTTTAATCACCAGCTATGAGAGATCATTCAGCAAGTTACAATTAAAACTTTTGTATCTGAGAACCTCTGTGCGTCAAGGTAGACTATGGGATCTTGCTCTGCTGAAAATGAAAAAAAATGACTCTGAGTACATCCTAGACGGATTTTCAATAGTGAAAGCAAGGAAAATGCAGTTGTAATTTTCAGTATTTATGTAGAGCCCTATTGTGTTAAGTAAACGGTTAACGAGCTTGACTTGTATTTTTGAGCTGATATTATGGTAAAGTGATCTAAAAGATGGGTATCAGATGTTTGGACAGGGGTGCCACTTCAATGCTTGCTATAGGCGCTCTTTTCCGTAGATACACCTCTGGGTAAAATACGTACATTCATTTGGCGTAGAGTGGAGGATAGATAGCTTCTGTTTTGTTCTTTTGGAGATTTAGATTCTAGATGGAAAATAAAGTTGTACCACTGACCTTTGGCTCATTATAAGGAAGCACATAACTTTCTCTGTAGCCTAAGCATCACACATTTCAAAACTGGTGAGAGTGTGGAGAACGAACTGCAGCTGTTATCATTAAGTGCTCTCCTCGCGTTTCTGTGGCCCTCATTCTGTCGCTGAGATTTCTCAGTGTGCTGAGGTAAAGACATCAGAACAGCGGACCATGCCAGCTACTGCTTGTATATTCTCTGCTCTCGACTTTATGTAATGGGCCATGGGGAAAATTCAGCCTGAGTAGCGGGAGGCACAGCAACTCCATTTCCTTTATCAGTTTACGAACCTCTGGCCGCTTGGCCCCTCATGCCTGAAACTTCACTAGGTGCATTTGGTTAGCACATCCCTCATTCCAAGTGCACACTTGGGACCATTTCTGTGCCTGCATGCATGTGCTCAACTGAATGGAAAGCTATGAAAAGATTGCTGTGGTACAGTACAGTGATTTTATTGAACTTGATCCCTGTCTAGGGGAGGAATGATAACCTTGATCATATTTGCAAACACTAGAGCCACATTGTGCAGTCTCCTTCAGGGCTCTTGCATCCTCCAATGTCTCTTCCAGTCTATTGTACACTGCATTGCCAGCCACACAAATCTCCCCATAACTCCATTTCCACCTTTCCATTTTCCTGACCCAGAACACCATGGCTCCCTTTTGCCTTTGTAATAAAACCCTCAATCTCTGATTTCAGGATCATCTATAATGTGACCCACTCTACCAATCCATCTGCTTCCCCACTTACCTTTTGCAGAAGAATTTAATAAAGAAACATACACATTTACATATTTTTTCTTCCATAGTTTTCTTTCGGGATTACTTTATTTT